TTTCATGAGTAGTAGCCATGCTGCTGGGCACACCTGAACTCTTAAAGCCAATAAGAATAGAAACTGAATGAAACACAAGGGTCTCTGAGATAGCTTTTGCTCTGCAACAAATAGGGGTAAAATGAGAGGTGAAACATGATATCATTGCATGATTATTACATGATTATAGTAGTCCTTTTTCTTATTTCATTTTTTTTGTGAGAATATCAAATTGTGAACCCAGTAATATGAACTGAATCAAATTGTGGGCTGAATGTATTGTTACACCCATATTGGTTAATGTCATTTTTCTCTGAATGTCTACTGGATAGCACTTTTGCTGTAACATATTGAGGATCCAGACTTTGCCAAGGTTATCGTTATGGCGCTATCCTCTAATCTTCAGGGCCTTGACTACAGTTACTCCGCCACCCTAGCAGAAAATAATCACTATCCTCCAAAAAGCAGTAGGTAACACATTTAGTCACGCGCTGCAGTACTATGCTCAGCGTTCTCTAGCTCCTTACACCTCAGTCTATTAGCAGAAACCAATGGCTAACTTGCCCCTAGACCTCCCTTGACACTAATGTCTTATTTATAGCTGCTACAGATTAGCCTTCATTATTACTTACCTCTGTCTCACTTTGTTGTGCCACTACTGAGAATATGCTCTCAGTCTCTTTTCTTTCACTATGTCTAGTGAAGCCACTACACCTTGATGAGTCCTATTAATTGGCCCTGGACAATTCGTCTCTTCCTTCTTTTTTGCACATAGTATAGTGGCTACAGTACTTAAAACCATGGTGTAAATGAGCTGTTTTAGCCTGGAAGGCGTGCCTCTTTGGATGCCCATTTGGCAACGTCTGCTCTCTCAGAGGAGGCCATTTGCTTCAGCTTGTTAGTACTTCCTTCATTATGGGATTTGGAGTCAGTTGCTAAAGAACTCCTTGATGCCTTCTTAAGTAAATAGGCTATATCGTCTAAAACTGTGGTGTTACAGCTCCCACAGGACTGCAGAATAAAATTTTGCTAGTTTTTGTTTATATCACAATCACTGCAAGCATAATAGCCCTTCTTTCAGCATTGTGATATCATGCCTCACTGTACACATTCAGTGCATCATACATAGTTTTGTTTAGCTAAAAAAACACAAAATATTCATTTCTATTTTTGAACTGTCAAAATATATTTTCGAGGCAGCCTGATTTTGTGGTTGGGGGGGCTAATATGGAGTTAATTTTGTGTCAAAAACTTCAAATAAAATAAAATCCACAAACAATATGTTCAGAATTAAGTATCATAATGTCCGAAATACGTTACAAATACAAACAATGAGTTAAACCAACCTTATTTTTTGACAAAGATTGCTGATAATTTTCATATACTGGTCATTTTGCCAGTTTTTGCTTTAATTTTTCTTCAGTTTGCCGATTTTGCAGATACATTTTTTGCTTTTGAAATCTTTTGCATTGGACTTCATTTCGAGGGAAATAACATAGCACTAGCACAAACACAGCAAAGACTGGAAAATACCTCTGACTACTGCCAGCTACGAGTTACTGCTGCCGTGAGACAGTTTATAGACAGTCATGTTTAATCACTACAGAAGGGAACAATCTTGACATGTCATGGTTGGCCATTGCGTTCTGGGGGTTATGAAGGCTGTTATGTCAGCTTTTCTGGTTTCTTCCATGTAAGTCACTGAAAATGGCTTTTTATTTTAACTCACCGGTTTACAGAATTATGTCTTCACATTAATAATAAATAATAACTCAGTTTAGTTCCGTAGTCCTAGATGACACTGTTAGCGCTAGCAGCTGTACAGCTTCTTTCAACAACTAAGTTCATGTTCTTCATTGTCCAAAATAAAAGTTATTTCCTTTTAAACATGGCAGCACAAGACTGTGCTTCATGGAGTGGGTGTGGCTATGTGTCCCAAGTCCGGTCACTCCAAAGCAGTTGCCTAATCTTCTAAAATCCTGCCAACTGTGAAATTGTGCCAAAAGTCAGAGGCAAAAGAAAGATTCCAAATACTCCAAATACAAATCAACAAAATAGTAACATAGAAAAAAACATAAATAAATAAAAACTGGAAAAATGAATAATACATAAATGTTAAAATAAGTAGTATCTTATCTTTTTCAAAACGACTGATAAACGATTTAACTCTCATTATTCGTATTTGCAACATATCTTGGACAATCTGATACTTAACATTTTGCTTGTGGATTTTATTTTATTTGAAACTTTAGGCACAAAATGATCTCCATACCCTATGTCCTCCAACACCAGTACACTTGGACACACCCATTCAGCAATGGGTGCAACCTCTGGCACAAACAAGAAGCCATCCATAGCTCCAGGCCAAAGTTCTTGGAGCTTCCCTTTCACATTTTTGCTCCTCAAACCACAATCAATTAACTGAAGGTGTGGTCTATATTAACAAAAAATATTATTTCAGTAAGAAAATATGCATGAAGGGCTTTTTAATCATGCCAATGTCCTTATGTAATCCTCACCACAACTCATTAAGAATCAGTCACTGACCACCATTTCAAACAATAACTTTAGAAATGACAATTTATGAGAGTAAGCAACTAGAGTTATTTTCCCCCGACTTCTTATGTATTTATTTATTTTTCTGCCTAAATGTCTGAGGCTGACCATGTGGTGGCATAATAGTGCAAACCTCTTACACTTTGTTCAGTAATTCCTAAACTGTGAAACATGTAACTGTTTATGTTCTCTTATATGAGAATGGTACAGTTCTTATATAACTGCAAGTGAAATGTTGTCAGAATCTTACCAAATAGATCTTTTGAATCCTTGGTAACCTGATCACGAACAGGTTATGCAGATATAATGAGTAACTGAAGTAACACAGAAATGTTTGAATTTTGACCAAGTGCTGGTGTGTAGCCCATTTATCAGAACCCATTAATCAGGTGCTTAGTAATTATGGGACGCAAGCAAGGGACCTCATTCAATCCAAGAAAGCATGCAAATTTTAATGAAACGTGCAAAACAGAAATAACCCACAAATGATCTGTCTAATAAAGCTTAAAAAGGGTCCATATGTTACACTCAAGATATATGAACCTTACTAACCACAAAACATATGAATCAATCAGCTGTCACCAAATCTTATACATGGCATGCTCCTGGCATCACCCTGAATCAGAGTGTAACCACAATCTTTGTGCAGTAAGTTCTAACATTAAAAGAATCATTTACAAAATAATCATCAAGTTTTTTTCAATCCAGTACAAAATTTCCAGTATAAACTGAAAGTTTAACTGAATTATTACCATCAGCCAATCAGAATGCACATGCCTTTATAGAGGCTTGGCAATGGTCAACCATCAACAAACCATACCTGTGCTATCATTCTAATAAAAATTAGAAAACGTTGATGAGCTTTCAGCCTCATCCCATAGCATAGATTTATTTCCCATTTGCAAAACCGTTACTGTACTGTACATTACCGAAAAAGGACAAAGGAAATTCAGTCTAACTGTTTAAAAAACTAAACTGACGGAGGAATAAATTGTACAGACACCACAAATGATTAACATTAGTACTTTGTTGCAAAGCTGTTGTTGGTAGTTACAACTTTGAGATGTCTGTAGTAAGAAGTAATTAGCTTTTTCCAGCACTGTGGTTCAATTTTGGCCCATTCCTCCTAGAAAACTGTCATTTCTCCAAGATTAAAATCCTCCAAGCACTTTCACCTTCTTTTTCAGAAACCAGTCTTGAGTTATTCTGGCTGTATGTTTGAGGTCATCTTGTTGAAACATCCATCTTCTGCCCAGATTCAGTTTCTTGGCTGATAAATTCTCCTCAACAACTACTGTTACCAAGGCAAAAAAGTGCAATAAATTAGAGGTTAAGAGTATTTTGCCAGCACTCCGTGCTGTTTATTGGAGTGTTGTCACTCCCCAGTTTCTGTTTTCATTACCCAACACCTTTGCTGGCCTGCTAGCCACGCTAGTGTTATTCCTCACTATTCCTAATTCTATTCCTATTCCTGACTAATAAACAGCCACACGTTCAGCTGAGTCTCCTCATTATTCACCACTTTCGCTGCAATATTTTATCTGACGAGTTTACATCAACATTACACACAAAGGTAATAAGAGGGGACAGTGAGGATCGTGTCTGCAATATCTGGGATTTTAGAAAAAAGAAAACATCTCAAAAGTCAAATCACCATTTTGCAACATAAATAAATGTAATGACATTATGCTGGTAGTGAACTATCCTGTCTGTAACAGTTGACTAAAATTGACAGTTACATCAGAGGTTAGGCAGTCACTACTGTGATTATCTTGAAGTTAAGATTAAGGAAATTTTGTGTAGTATTTAGGAAATTCTGTGTAGTTAGGATGTTTCTGTAGTACTGTTTGCATATCCGAAGTTGGGATAAGATTATGAAATTAAGAACTGTTGTTCTGTAACAGCTACTGTACTAAATTCAGTCCTAACTGAAGTTGTCATGGTGACTAAACAGATAGGATTTCAGAGTTAAGATGTTTCTGTAATACAGGCCCAGATTTGTGTAAATGCTTGTGTGTAAAATTTTAGATGCTGTCTGTGTGCTTCTTTTTTGCAGAGTAATTCTGTGTGGTGTGTAGCTATGGAGAGAATTGTGATGCAGACTGCTGGCTTCTTTCTTACCTTCTTTACCATTTATCAGAGAGTGTGAAATCTTGCGTGGCCCACCTGTCCCATTAGTTGTGATTTTAATGACCTTACCACTTGCATGTCATCAAACTAACTGTACTGGCAGGGTTATTTAACATCTTTGCTAGGGGTATTTTTCCATTTGCTTGTTTTATAAAGTGTCTGATTGCTTGTTTTACCTCACTCTAAACCCACAGCTCATCAGAACATGTTGGAGAATTGGCTCCCTATCGGGGTAATGCCTGACTGAATCCATGGAGTAAACCAACTAGTGTTTATTTTTGTTTTAGCAACAAAAAACGAGAATTATCTATGCTCGAACCTTTCTCAACACTCACCTGAAAACTTCTCCAGGCCTATGATCTTGCTGTCATTATCAGGATCTGAGAAGTCGAGGTCTTGGCCCAGAAGAAAGTCACCGTCAAAGGTAAGGTTTGCTGTAGTGTTGTTAATGCCTATGCCATCTTTAGAATCCACTGAAAAGCAGCAAAGAAGGATTTACAGGCTTGTATGGATGTTTATAAAGCCACACAACATCAAGCTAACCTAATGAAAGTTGCTGTTAAGAAACTCTGCACTAATGACAAGAAGAACTGTTTGGGCCTAATTGCAGACCTTGAACGATTATGAAAATAAGCCTCTGAATATCAATGGTTTCATTACACTGGTTTGTTTTTCTGTTGCTGACATTTTGCTGCCATCTACTGGACATAGTATCAGGAGTCAATACAAAGCGTAAAGAAAACCAAGAAATTTTCCAGATGCACCTGATTAAACATCAGGCGTTCACAACGAGGCAGCCTACTGTTTCCAATGGAATGCAAATACAAGAGTGATGATATTTATTTGTATATTCTATAGCACTCGTTCTTTTTCATACCACGTTTTTATAAAAAAATATGGGAATTACATTTCTGTGGCAGCTACTATAGAGTCATTGCATGTAAAAAAGCTGTACCCAGTAAAATACGATTTGTGGAGGTACAAATGAGAGGACTCTGAGCAAATAGTGCAAAATTACATTGGAAACAGGACCAAATTAACTACATTAATATCGCAAAGCCTTGCTATGACAGGACACTGAGGTAGCTAAAATCTTTTTTAAACCAGCTCTTCTATTATGAACTATATGTTTAAACCAACATTAAATTGCTTACACTTTACAGGTTGTGGATTCTGCTGTTTTCTTCTTGGCATCTTCCAGTCAGCCTTTCTTGATTTGTAGCCTCTACCACAAGCCCTCCAACCATCAGCTCATTCTGCGAAACAAAAACGGTAAACGTTTTAGTTTAGCTTCAGTGAAGGTGAGCAACCCAGACCCTTTAGACACTGCGCCTTTCCACAAGCACAGTTAACACAGTAATCATTAAGTTATCTCAACACTCGGTGTCACACTGCTAGCCATCAAGCTAAAAATGTCACATCTCACAATTCAAAACCAACAGCAGTGCAAGCTAAACATCATCGCTTCCTCTCTGCAAGGTTTAAATCGTATTCTGCATATTATAAACAGCACGTTTGCGACACAAAGCTGTCCTGTCGCAACGCAGCAAACTGACAGTCGAAAAGCTCATTTCTGTTGTGATATAGCAAAGCAGCCAAGCTGGGCAGCCTCCTACATCATCAGGCTAACAGGATTTCATCAATATTGTACCTCCTGTTTGTGTCCTGGCCATTAAAGAGCACTTCTTCTGTGACTAAAGAGAGCCGTTTTAGAGTAAGCGAATGTTAGCTGTCCGCCATTCCGTATCGTGTCGGGCATGAAGAAAGGCAATTAATGCTCTTTTTTTCACAACTTAATTGATTTCCAGATTGCCATTGTATACATTTTCTTCCGCTATTTTACGTGTATCCGTTTCCCGGACTTACGTACATACGTATTTGTAGTTCGTGGTGTTGGGAGTTGTAGTCGTCTTACGTTTGTCGACATTTTGCCAAACCGCTTTTAAAGCACTTCAAAATACATAATATGGGAAAATACTAGGTCACAAATGCCGACTGCACTTCATACAAAAGATGAAAAACAAATATTTTACGGGGAAAATTTGGAGAAAGGAGAAATTGTTGTTGATGAAAATACCATTAATTAAATTATTTGATTTAACAATTCTACATATTATGGTTATAATAAAGATTATTATTATTATTATTATTATTATTATTATTATTATTATTAATAATAATAATAATAATAATAATAATCTGTTAATGTGTTATGATAAATACGGTATTTGACATTATGTATGTATATATATATATATATATATATACATATATATATATATATATATATATATATATATATATATATATATTAAATATGGAATTTGTGTGTGTGTGCGCGAGCGTGTGTGTATGTATATTTGTATATTTAAATATGTATATGTTGGTATTTTATGTATAAAACACGAACATTAGGAATGTCCTTACGTCCTAAGCACTTTTAAAGAGCCCACAGTAGTGATGCCCTTCAATGAGTAGAAGAGGCTTCGCTCTGCTGCAGTTCTCTGCAGCAGGTCACTCCTGGCCCAGTGCTGTATTGTGGGTTAAACAGCAGAGGGAAGGGGATTCTCTGAGGTTAACGGGGATCCTCCGCCTCAACGTCACATGCAGCGTTTTTCGGCCCACGGCAGCGCGCGCTCTTCTCTCCGCTTCACGGCCAAATGTGTTTTACAGCAGTGGGCGGGTCGGCGCGGGCGCGAGCCTGTGCGTGCTGGGCTTTCAGTGGGAGGAGCTAACTGACGGTGCTGAGCAGCAATAAGATAACGCCGTGAGCGGAGGTAAGGGACACATTTCTGCTTTATTTTCCCTTCTCTTTTAGCCACTATTTCCTGATTATAATCACAGCGGTGTGGTCCGTAGGCTGTCAGTGAGCAGATGAAGTGCTCGAGTTTATCGAGACTGAGCGGCAGGATGTAGCGTAATAACCTTGCCACTCCCTGCAGTGCTGTGATGCCTGGGCAGACCCTCTGATTAATTATTAAAAATGATGTTCTGCGCTGCTTTTCAGCTGAATGTCGGCATTCGAGTGTAATTAATTGTATTTCCTAGCTTTCATAGCCGTGCGCTGTTTTCCCTCGGTCGGAGTGGAAGCGGTGATCTGCGATTCGTGGCAGTAGATGATGGTCAGTCAGTGCTGATTAGAGCAGCCTGTGCTGGAATAAAGGACAGAACTCCAGTGATTTACTGATGCGCCTCTGAAAGCAGTGCGGGAATGGGGAGGTGTGTCCACTGAAAGCTTCTGTCCTGATCTGATGCTGTCTGAGCGGCTTGTTTGCCCCTCATCCTCCAATGTAGCCTGTTGGTGTGGCTTGTAAGCCTGGTGTAATGAGTCAGCCACTAAAACACTGACTGTAAGCTTTGCACTTGCAGGTTGTTGTATTTTTGAAATGCCAAAGTGTGTTTTAGGCTTAGACTCAGTGTTTCGTATTCTGCCAATGTACACTATGCAGCCCTGCTTCTTTCTTTTCATTTAGTAATTTTTACTGAGAAACCATTAATGCTCATTTTCTCTAGGCTAATGTTGTGTCTCATCCTTTGTTTGGGATTATGAGGAAAAAAAATGTTGGCCTACATAGTTCAATGCATGCAAAGTGCATCTACAGTAAAAGGCAAACTTTTTAGTTAGATGTTTTCTCCAGAGCCCCTCACATCCACAGAAACAGACAGAGAGAGAGAAAGAGAGAGAGAGAGAGAGACAGACAGGGTCTTTCTTTTCCAATCTCATTTCATATTTTTTTCTCTCTCATCTATGGCTTGTTTGTTAATCTGTGCTTTTGGAATTTCTCCTTGTTTATTATTGGCCCTTTGGGCTCATAACAGTATTTGCTTTTGTGCATGAAGCACGATTCATTTCGAGAGCACTGCTTGTGGACCGCATTACGTGGCCTGGGAAAAATGTTTCTTTTTTAATCAGCTTTTTGCTGAGGCAGAGAGCGAGCAGTTAGGCAAGTCAGAGGTAAGACGGAGGGGCCTCGGGCCTTGAGCTGATTATGCAATGCTGCCTGAGTGGGCTGATGTTGGTATTTGTCCTGAGACAAAAACTGTTGATAGCTGTAATATCTCCTAATTACCCTGTAAACATTTCAAAATGACCTCTTTGTTCTCTTAAGTACTATGTACAGTGCAGCTGTGAAAGTTTGAAAATGCACAGTGGCCTCAAACTTGAATAAATAGAACAGTTTCAGCTTTTTAGAAAAATGCTCTGCACTTCTTTTTACATGGTCTCTTAAAAAAGAGGTTAAAAGTCAGAAGTCACGCTACATTTAGTAAATTTCTATTCAAAACGGCCATTAAGTATGAGTTATTGATTTTCCAGCATCAGGCAAAAAAGCAGAAAACATATATTTAGCAAGACATTGCGCAGAAGCCTCAACAATAAATATAATATCACATTTTCAGTATTTAGTTTGTCCATGCTTTCCCTTTATTACCGCTTCCATTCTTTTCAGGAGACAGGAAATCTGCAGGGATGTTTTTACACCAGAGTTCAGTCTTAGAAGTTGGTTGCATTTTCATTAGTGCAAAAACCCTTACTTCATATTTTCAGTTTCCCTTTTTTCTCAATAAGGGCTTCATGGCAGCTACACATTCTTTCAGACCCATAGCGTTTTTTTTTTTCAGATCTGAAGTGAACATGGAGCTGATTTTCTCTTTCTTTATATATTTTAATCACTTTTTGAACTCCAGTTTCAACTCAATGAACTATGTGGATGCTTATTTAGTGTGAATGCCACGTTTGCCTCCACGATGTTATGATGGTGAATTTTTATATTTAATATTGCATCAGCTATTATTATTATTATTATTATTATTATTATTATTATTATCCTGTATAATCTATAATCTCAACAGTAGACAACCTGTTGAGTATAGTTCTTTAAGCAATCTCACAAAAATGGTTCTATCTAGCACCAAAGTGGTTCTGCTATTGTTTTAGAACCTTTTTTAAATTTAATTCTTTTAAATATACTATTTAGAATGCTTTTTGTTTAGTGTAGAGAATCTACCAGAAAAGCAGTGTGAAACATGTTTTTAATTCCCACATCCATCTCTGCAACAGTTGCTTTGAGCTATAATGGATGCCTGTTGCTAAGAGGGGAAGTCCCAAACGACCGACGTCTGTTATTCACTGAACCCCAGCCTGTTGCTAATACAATAGGGGTTCTGGATACAATCCAAATCATTCCTAAAAACTTTTTAAGCCTAGATGCTTTCTTGGGGTTCTTTCTAGCCTGATACATGACTAAAAATCAACAAAGCAATGATACCGTTAAAAGTTGTGGTTAGCTGCGATAGCACTGCAGTGATGATTTGCCTCAAATGTGTAATCAGCGTCCTAAAGATCAAATTATGTTCATGGTACACCAAAAGAAATAAGATTAGATGTAAGAGATCTGCAGGCTATAACGTCTCTGTCCTCCTGTTTATTGCGTCCCTGAGTCAGGCGTGCAGTGCTTCTAATGAAAATAAATGGCTTAATAGTGTCCACTTTGATTAGGCTTTAGAGAACGTTTAAGCCCTAATACAACCTTTGTAAAGGCATCTATGTGACATCTGAACAGGTTTCCTTAAGTGGAACAGCCGTAAAACCCCTAAATGGTTCTTCCTGAGTATTTTCTTAGCCTCTAACACTTCTGTTAATGTGTTTGTAGGCAATCCAACAGAAGAGTTCTTGGTAGGTCATTTCCTTGCAGTAAAATGCAATCTTTGATTACCTTGTGTTCTGCAGTGTTCTGCACATTCAGTGCTTCAGCATATGGAGTGTAATGATACATATATTTTCAGGTTTGATATGATTTTGGATTCTAAGGTCAAGATTCAACTTGGTTTGTTACAGTTTGTTTATTAAGATTCTACAGATCTCTAATTATATTCTACACAGACTGGGTTGACTTAGAAAAAATACTAATTTGAATTCAAATGAAACAAAAGATCACAAAGTAGGATGTCCTTGTGCAAAAGAAGTGATCTTATGAAACAGTGCAACTGAGCTGTAAACAATAAAAATCCTGAACTGCCTAAAACCTTCTATAGCATGCTTCAATTTTTAACCCCCCAAAAATGAAAATTAACATTTAAACAAATAAACAATTAAAGTAAGTGCAGTGACTCTGACATTAAGCATTAACTATAATGTGTTACTGTTAGAGGTGCACCAATATGGGAATTGTGGGCTCATGCTGAAATCTGATATTATTCAACTGCCAATACCAATACATAATCATTTATACAAAGTTAGCATTATAGATAAATGTAACATTTATTTCTGTGGGGTTACAATTGCATTAAAATAATTTAAAATGCAGATATTTAAGTGCAGGAACTCAGTATCACCTAAATATTCAGCCCTTTTGGAGTACAATCAATACACCATCAAATATTGGTTTAAAATATCACAATGTCTGTTGCAAATAATTTTTTAAAGCAATTATATGCTGATACTTCAGGGGTGGTTATTATGACAATATTCTATCCATATAATGATCAATTTCATTTTCATGATAACCTACTTTTCTGAAGATTTTGTGGATATCACAGTACATAAAAAAAATGCTTAACAACTGCATATTTCATTACAAAGAGAGCACAATTTGTCCTGTTTAACTGTATTTAGTGCAGTGCAGAAAGTTTGAATAAAAATCACTGTATCACTGAGTTTTTTGATAGCATTTTTTAAAAATGGTGCCACTAATGCATTGTGTCTGTGTTACAATACTTTGATAAGCTTTGTGCATTGTGAGAATGTCTTTAGATATCAATATATATATTTTTGCCTTATCGCCTGACCCTATGATGCCGATATGATTCTGATATCTTTTGGCTACGTTCACATTACAAGCCTCATGATGTACTGAATGTCATAGGTTTCTGACATTATAGCTTCCGATTTTTTGCTCAGATCTGATCTTTCTAACTTGATGGTTCACATTTGTGTATTTAAGTGACTCACATCCTGAGATGACCCGTGTGCACACATCCTAATCAATAATGTCACAAACCTTGTGCATCATGAACAGCAAACAAACTAAACAGTGGAACAAGCTGTTCCAGCTTCAGGTTCGGTGCTGCTGCCACGTTAACCCTAAATGATGGCCTATGCGCTGTAAAAAAACAAAAAAAAACAAAAACAAAAACTATAAATTCTGATATGAATTCCTTAAGGTCATGTGGCCATGATTCAGACATGTATTCGATCTAGGAGGACATGTGAAAGTGCAATCAGATTTGTGTGTACACACCGCTCTGAAAAAATCAGATCTGCGTCTGACCCTCTTTCACCTTCATCTCGCTCTATTCATAAACTGCTGAGATACATGTGACGTTATTGATTAGGATGTGTGCATGCGGGTCATCTCAGGATGCAGGTTCACTCGCATTACTGACAGATTTGAGTCACTACATGGATGTGAACCCTCAAGTTAGAAAGATCGGACGTGGGCAAAAACTTGAGTGATAAGGCTTGTAATGTGAACTTAGCCAAATTGGCTCAGAACTAATTTGAGAAGAAAAGATTTACATCTCCATAAATTAACTATAAAAAACATTATTATATAAAATTATATAAAAATTATAAAAAAACATTTCCATAAAATATCTCAGTACATCTTAAATGTACTTAATATATCTAATATTTCTCGTTATGAGACTGTTGTAAAAATATTTTTTTCTAGACATTTTTAGTTGTTTTATGTAATTTTATCTAGTAAAAGTGTCGTATTCTATTGCCATAACATTTTACTTGTTTTGAGAAATAACGAAGATAATTTTGCTTATTTAAAGATGTAATGCTTAAAACAAGTAAAATGATCTACCAGTGAAATTAGACAGTTTCATGAGATAAAATAACTCAAAGCTAGTAGAAAATGTTTAGTAATAACTTAAATAATAAGTTAAGTAATCTTACCATATACTTACAACAATCTCACAATGAGAGATATTTGATATATTAACTACATTTAAATTGTTTTCACTTGCTGAGATGATTTTTTGCAGTGCACATCAAGGAAAAAAATCAGATTTGTGTGACGTCTGCAATGTTACTGTTTCAGTTTTTCTACATTATGTGGTTTCCATGGAAGACGGCGAATGAGAGCCCCTCAGAAGAGTCTGAAGAGTGTGTCAGTGATACAGTATTATTTCTAAAGCAGCATTTTGAACAGATGTTTTTTCAGATTTTTTGATACTGTATCAAAATCGTTATTCAACATATGTATTTTAGAAGCAAGTGAATGTGACGTTCATAAGTGGGTAATGTTTTCAGCTCTTTTAACACACTTATCTTTGTGTATTGTTTAATATAGTTGGTACAGCTTGTATACGGAAATGAATATAAGTGCAGCAGGAAGATTCAAGTATATTCATGGATTCAAGTTCAGACTCAGGTCAAAGCACAGTGTGGGGGATTTTCATCAATTATAAGATATATGTAGTCTCTTTATAAGAGTTCATCCATTACTTATTTTATTCAGCTGTTTAGGTTCCTGTTGATTTGAAAGCACAGCCCTTATGAGGAAAGCCCTAAAGAGGAAATTCTGAGCAATATGATCAGATCAAAAAAGCATGTAGAATATTGAAGATGCACTTAAACTTTATCTCCCACAAGGATTTCCACAAATCCCCAGGATGCCTTTCTCTGGCTTACCATTAGGCAGCTAAATGATGCAATGTCTGCCTGCAGCTTCTGTCTCCATTTCTAGCTCTGGCCCTCACCGGGAGTCTTTCCTTCAGAGGAGGATGTTAACAAAGGAAGGAAAATAGAGGGCCCCTCAGTAATGTTCCCTTTATGGAAAAAGAATTTGCACCGGTCAGTGTAACCTCTGGTTTTATTAGCATTTCCCAAATATACACCGTGTATTAATAGGAATGGAATTGTACACGTTCTAACAAGAACACGGTTCAGTTTCTCGTAAGCACGTCTGCAGGTGTTGGAAAGGTGTTTGCCTGGTGTATTCGCCTGTGTTCTCTGTTCTCTATAACAGGCTGTTCCAGTCAGCTTGAGTAAACATGGCTGTGGCTAGTCCACTAAGCTGCTGTGCTTTCAACATGGATGATTCCTGGTGTTCTTTGCTGACAGTGTCCTCCCGGCCCACTGCCCACATAAAATGTGGCGCACGCTCATCCGTTCCCACTGTTCTTTGTACACTGTTCAGCGTCCAACTTCTTGATTTTACATCGTCCTTTGTGTCCTCTGTGCTCTGGTCACACACGCCTTTCTAAAGACTACTTACTGTCAAAAGCCAGAGTTTTGTTTTTTTTTCAGCATTACTTGACACAGCTGTCTTTAAGTCAATATGTGAGGTTAGGTGTCATTAAGTGATTCTGATGTCCTCTGAAGGTAATACATTCAATAAATATTAAACTCAGCAATCAAAATGATCCTGTAAAGATTCTTGAAATGTTCAACATGTGAAAGACTCTAAATGAGAGTGCAGGGTTTAGTGTGGCAGGCAAAATCTGCTCTTTTCAGACAAATTAGCCTGTTATTAGGCGGTGACTTTCAAGGGCTTGTTATCTGACTTTGTCCGTATGAGGCTGTGATTTTTGCCTCAGTTGAGCCTTCAAGCATGTAATTACAGAGACCACGGCTCTGCCACTGCGGGCAAGGGCTCAGTGCACTAATGTATTGAACCAAACAAGCTGTATATGCGACTTATGCAGCTTGTTTGTTTGCTCTAGACCCGGGTACCATCCTTAAAGTTCAATGCTTATTAAGAGAAACAGGGTGTAAAACATGAAGGACTTAGTGCTGTTGTACTCAAGCCTAGTCTCGGACCCTTTTTTTTATTGTGTCAGACTTGCTAGTATTTGTTCATGGGCTTAAATAGACTTGACTCAGCCATTGGACCTGACAAATTTAGACCCTGCTATTGACCAAGAACAAGTAACATTTAAAAAAATATCATATTTTTTTTAACTGTCACCACCTGTACTGCCTTGCACTCAAGCAACTCAAAACCAAATCATTGTGTCTGTTTGTGTTTTATTTAGCCAGCTGGATCAGAAAACAGCCGCATTTGTGTTTGTGTTTTTGAAAAGTTATTGTTATATGCAAAGTTTTGATTTGCGGAAAAAAAGTCATTTACGTTTTTGCCATAATTGTGTCAGTTTCTGACGTGAAAACAATCAAAAACTGTTGATACAAAATGTAATGTAATTAATTACATTACTACTTAATAAGTGTAATTACATAATTGTATTAAACAGTAAATCCTAATTCAAGGAATAACCCTAAAAGTCTAAGTATTAAGTATGGTCTCTAAAGTGAAATTGGGCTCAATTGTTAAGGTCTAGATCTTGGTCTCTGCTACATTTAGACTTGGTCTTGGCTCAATCTCGACCAGCCTTGGGCTTGACAAAGGTTATCTTGACTATAGCCCTAGAAAAACTACAAAAATTGCATTCTTCTTTACTAGGTCTTACTTCGGTGTAATATTTTGAACATTAATATTGGTAAACTTGTTTTTAACCTTATCAATTCATAAACAAGTCTTTGAGCTACACTCAATCAAGTAGTGGCATTTTACTAGCCTAATTGCTGGTTGCTGATCCTACCTGGACATTGTTTTCACATTATGTTATTTTTTTCTTTCAGGGTGGCTGAAAGTGATGGTTACTTTTTAATTACTGAGAACAGAAGATTAAGAAAAAGAAAATCACTGTATATTTATTAGAGGAGTGATCATGACCTCCAGCGGGGAACCTTCTAGCGGACGTTTTTCTTGCCCTTTCCCAATGTCTACACTACTGCATCCCACCGACGAACCATAAGCGTCCTGCACTCAAACGCTTGCACGCTGAAAGGACCTGATTTGCTCATGCTGGTTTGGCTGGACTGTTGTACTTCCTACCATGAAGAGGCCCAAGCAACAGTCTCAGCCCTTTAGCTTCCTCAGCTTCTTCAGCCGCAAGCCCAAATCAGACCCCAAGAATGAGAAACCCGCCACTCCGAGCCGAGATGAGGTGGCCATTACGTTAACTCCTAATGAGCCAGAGCATGGAGAGCAAGTAAGAAAGAGATGCACTTTAACCCTTTAATGCCTAAGCAGAATGTAGCTATTTTTGCCTTATAATCTACTCTGCTCCTTTTTATAATGTACTTTCTCAGTGCTGCTCTCATGTAGAATGTAAACATGTTTTAACTAAGCTGAAAATTTGATTTTTATTTTGTTTGTATCATAAACTACCATTCTGAGCAAACAAACATATAGAGGTGTACTTATTTAAGTCACCTTTTATTACTATTCTGATCAAACAAATCAACAAAAAGCTTTTAACTATTTGAATTCCATGCACATTCAGCTATGTGAATATGCACACACACTCACTCAGATACTATCACAGTGAAAAAAGGCATGATCACACTTCTTTTATACAGTGATAGAAAACATGGTAGCATGCTGATCCATTTTACTCTGCTGAGCGTGCTTGCTGTGGATATGCACAGGACTCAACCACTCTGGGGGCAGTTTTTTTATGAGTTTAAGAGGAGTTTCTGATAGGGATGCACCGATATGGGAATTGTGGGCTGATGCCGATATCCAGTATCAATACATACTCTATTTGGTCAAAAGTATGTGGACTCTCCTCCTAATTATTGAGTTTGGGTGTTTTAGTCACACCCTTTTCTAACTGTTGCATAAAATCAAGTCAAGTGCATAGACATAGACCAACAGTCTATTTGGCGTGGGTCATAATGGACGAGCTCTGTGACTATAAACATGGCACTATCATAGGATGCACCTTGCCACCAATTGGTTTGTGAAATGTCTGCCTTGCTAGATCAGCCCTTGTCAACTGTCAGTGCTATTATTGTGAAATAGAAATATCTGTGATGTTGAAAACAATAGTTGAGCCATGAAATGATAGACCACGTAAACTCACAGAGTGGGGCCGCATCGGCTGGAGTCATATAAAGCCACCGGACACCGGAAATGTGTTTTCTGGAGTGATTAATCATACTTCACTATCTGGCAGTCTGGGGAACACACCAGGGTTTGGTGGATGCCAGGAGAATGCTACCTGTCGGTATGCATAGTGCCAACAGTGAAGTGTGGTGGAGCAGGGATGATGGTCTGGGGCTGTTTTTCAGGGTTTGGGCTTGACCTCTTAGTTTCAATGAAGTGTAATGTATATGCGACAGCATACAAATTCATTTTAGACAATTACACATAATACATTACCAACATTGTGGCAACAGGTGGGGGAAGGCCCTTGCCTGTTCCAGCATTACTGTACCCTTGTGCACAAAGTGAATTCCTTAAAGACATGGTTTGATGAATTTCGTGTGGAGGAACTCAGAGAACTCAGGCCTACAGAGAGCCCTGACTTCAATCCCAGTGAGCACCTTTGGGACGAATTGGAACATTAGTTGTGAGCCAAACCTTCTCGTCTAACATCAGTGCCTAACCTCACAAATGTTCTTTTAACTGAAAGGGCACAAATACCCACAGACACACTCCAAAATCTTGTGGAAAGCCTTCCCAGAAAAGCAGAGGGTGTTGTAGTGTCAATGGGGGGTTTGTGGGGGCAAGGTCAGCTCCACATCAATGCCAGTCGATTTTCTATGGGCTGCCTAACAAGCTCATATTGCTGTGATGGTCATTTGTATACATACTTTTAGCCATATAGTATGAATAGTGTATATGCCAATGCCAGTGCAGATGGTGATACATTAACATGTTTAAAATGTAGAAACTGGGACTAAATCTACCTGGATTAGTCTTACAGAGAAATACAACATTTATTTCTATATGGTTACAAAAGCAGAATTATGAATAAAATGTACATATTTTAGCACAGTAGCCCACCATCAATTGAAGATTCTGCTCTTCTCGAATACAAAAAATACGTCAAATATTACAAAAATACATCAAATAATATGTCTCGTATGTGTAATAGAAAAGAATGGAGTATGTGATCAACAGGCTGCAAGGGTCTGTAAGAACATACCATATTTATCACTGTTGCTAGGTAGGCCATCCTATTCTGCCCTCCCTCCCCTCACTCTGATATTTTATTTAATTAGTATTATTGTGAGTGTCTTCTTGCTGTTGCCAGGAAACAGAGTGGTTTAGCCCTACATTTTACCCCTTCCAGATGAATGCACATGCACCCATGCAGAGGCTCTAGTGGTAGAGTTGATCTATGACTTTGGTTACATTGTTATATGACAAAACATAGCAAGTTTGCACATACAGGAGCCTCTTCATCATTCAAAACACTGTTTGTGACTGTAAATAAAGGGACTGTATCTTGCAAAAACTTTCAGTTCAGTTCACTTCAATTCAAATTTATTTAAAAAGGGCATTTTTTCAATGGATGTTATCACAAAGCAGCTTAACAGAAATGCAGGTTTAAGCCCTGGAAGAGCAAACTGAGGGCAACAGTGGCAAGGAAAAACACCTTTATGAGCTTGAGAAAGTAACCTTGAAAGAATTCAGAACTAAAACCCCACCAGTTGCATCAGATAACTAAATCACAATAACAGTGAGAGGTAGAAGAAATCTGAATTTGAAAAAAAGAATGCATGCTGAATTCATTATGACTGTGATGTCATAACCATGAACATGTTTACGTATCATTACCTATTCAGCATGGAGAAATTTAGCTTGCTAATTCTTATTGAAGTGATGAGACGTTTTGTTACTGAAGATTATAGCCAAGCCTATAGCGGAGATATTGCAGTGACGGATGTGGGGAAAATAATTAAACATGCTTTTCCTGGCTAAAAAAATGTATCTGAAAGGTATCAGGAATGGCTGAAATAAATTTTTTCTGACATTCCTGAGGATTTCAAAAGAGCTCAGTTGCAAATATCAGTCTTAAAGGGCCTATATCCTACATTTTTCTTGCGTTTTATATTTTCCACTTAAGGTCCACTTGTAACATTTATGTGAGTTTATGTACCAAAAATGATGATAATTCCTTTTTGCATGACCAACATGACCATTTTCCATCCTTTATGTATCCCTTAGAATTGAACAGGCTGTTTTGTTACTGTGTCTTTAACACTAATATATGTAAATGATGTCTGTTCTGATTGGCCACCCTGTATTTTCACTCATACAAAAAGCAATCTGGGCTGATACTCCTTATAATTTCAGCATGAATGGGTGGGGCTTGACTGCTGTAGACAGATGGGTGGATAGATGTAAATGTGTTGGGTGGTTTTTGTGACATCACAGAATCCATGGATTCAAAATGGGCTGACGTTCCGTATATATATAGACTGTGTGCACTGTGGAACTGTATGTTTCGAAACTTGCGACCTTTATATAGTATAAAAAAAAAAACAATAGCTGAAAATTCAGTTTTCCGTGAAATGGATAACAAAAAAGCTTACTTAATACTAAGAGATGAAGAGAGGTTGCAGAAAAGCTTTGTAAAAATGAGTTTTATTGTTTATATTATTGTTCTGGTATTATATGTGTACAAGAAATTATCCCTCTAATGTATTTTTTCACTCTAGGATCCAAACCTCGGTGAGAGAGATGGTGGAGGAGATAGTGGTGAAGGAGGTTTGGTGAAGGGCGAAGCAGCCGGGGGCGAGCAGCAAGCAGCAGAGTGCGGCAGCAGCGGCTCCACAGGGGTCCTGTCTCTGTCTTCATCCAGCCAGGAGCAGCTGCTAGAGCACTTGGTGGAGTGTCCCCTGTGCCTGCTGAGCCAGCCCCGCGGTCACTTCCCCCGCCTGTCCTCCTGCCCACACCGTGCCTGTGCCGACTGCTTGCGACAGTACCTGCGCATCGAGATCTCAGAGAGCCGCGTTGGCATCGCCTGCCCGCAGTGCCCTGAGGCGCTGGCCCCGCCGGACGTCCGTGCCATCCTGGACGACGGCGCCCTGCTGGAGCGCTTTGAGGAGTTCCAGCTGCGCCGCTTCCTGGCTGCTGACCCCGACACGCGCTGGTGCCCAGCGCCGGACTGCAGGTTAATGCAATAACACGGTTTATGACTGACAAATCACCGTGGCCAAGCCTGTTTAGATGTTATTAGTTAATTATTTCACACACCAGGGTTCATTTCAGCTTGGCCAGTGAGAAAGAACGTTAAACAATGTTAGTACGTACAAAAAACGCATACATTACCATTCAAAAGTTAATTGAAATTGATTGTTGTATTAATAGATTTTGGGGGTGTTCACATAAGGCCTTTTTAAACATGAGGTGCGCCATGTCTCTTGCTTATGAGCTGGGCAAGGTTTTTTGGGGGTGGGTTAACACATTTGACTGACATAAGTAAATACAAGACATGATCTGAGAGAATGCTAGATGGAGGTGAGCAATAAACACTTTGAAATTGATAATAAATGGAAAATAATAATAATAAATAGAATAATAAATAGAAAACTCTTCTTGAAATCTTTGTGCTGAGTGTTGTACAGCTCTGGATACACTGGCTTTTCCTCTGTGTTAAATAAGTGACTAGACAGAAGGCACCTTTGATATTGATTAGTCATCTAGGATGATGAAAGGAGTTCTTTGCTGGCTCTCACTGGAAAAGTTGACCGCTTTTCAACCTAAGCTTAGTCCCAAATGGCACACATTCCAGTCCACATCTGTGCATGCAACCGGCATGTATTGTTTTGCCAATCAAAAGGATGCTCACTTGAGCCCTCAGTGTGCCCTTAATGTGGCCTTCAGAGAGGACCGCAACGATGCTGACTTAGTAGCGGCCTATTACCCAAGATTTCTTGAGATAGATACTCCGACGGTCAGAGTGGACAGTTTTGTTTACAGCTGTCTGATCAACAGGGTGGAGAGGGAGACATTCAAATATGTCAAAATGCATTTATTTATTAACGTAGCTTATCATTAAGCTGAATTATGCTTGTAATCTGAATACAGCCACTGTAGATAAGCATATTAGCTCATTAAAAAAATGAGGACAACTGATAGCTGCATGCAGCACATACAAAGCTTGCATGTCGAATGAGTCTGTCCCATATGCACACGTTTAAACCAAGCACTCTTGAGGTTTCTTGCCCTATAGGGCTGCACATTGTTGATGTCACCAAGGTGTAGACTTTGTAGGCTTTGAGGGCTGCAGCTGAGCTTTAGACTGCATTCACATGGAATTTTTGATGTCTGCCAAAAAACATTGATAAGTTACTGGATTGTTGTGGGTGTGTTTGTGAGTGGAGATCGATGTTAGCAGGAAACTCAAGTAAACGTTAAACAACCAGACTTGTAAATTTTAATCGAACTGGTCACCGTTATACTGAACCTGAAAGCTGGACTTTACAGCTCTGAATGTGAGCTGACAGGCAGTCATTTATGTCTCCTCTGTTTTGTTCAAAATCAGCGTAACTTACTAAAGCCCCACCCCAAACCACCTCTTGTTAGCGAACACCTTAGTACGTTAGGGTACGCTCCGTAATGGTTTAACTCTGGTAAACTGAACTTTATTTAATGGACAGTGACGCATAGTTTTTGCAGATTGTTCTGTGTTGGTACCTGTTGTCAGTAAACGCCTTGTCTTTGTTGAACTCCATGGCAAAATATGCGTTTTGATGGATATCAAAGAGTCCTTGTGATCATGACTTTAAACATGTGGTACAAAGATGTGTTGCGCAGGCTAAAGGAGTGCTTCTCAGTCATGGTGCGTGTTACTCCATAAACAACAATAAAAAGAAGCACCCCCTATTTCAGTGTTTCAAATATTTTGGGAGCAGCAAGAAGTTAATAAACGTAAATAATATGTTCTATATACTTATTTAAGCTATCTGCCTTAAAATACGATCACTATTTTAAAAGTCAAAGCATTCTGGATATTAATTTTATTTGAACGTAATTCCAAATACTGTAAACCCTTTTCAGTCATTATGGAATCATCTACAGCTCTGTTTGTCTTCCTTGACACATTTAAAATCTCCTCATTTTTCTTTTCAGCTTTTTTGCTATTTCTCTTCCTACTAATTATCTGAAATCTGTAAAGTTATACAGAGTTAGCATTTAAGAACCTACATTAGTATTATTTAAAATTTTGACGCTGGACTTTTGAACAATAGTGTAATATATTAGAATAATATAGCAGAAAAAAGTCTTTTGCCATTATAAGTTTCAGCTGGCTGCATGCTGTATCACAGGGCCTGGGTGATAGAGTGCGTTCCTCATCGTTGCATTATTCATGGCTCGAGAGGCCAGTGTTGGATTTCTTTACAGCAACAGAAGCAGTTTAGTGCTGGGAAGCTGTGGCTGACCGGTGAGATGATTGTTTTCTCCAGCCAACAGTGCAGGATTAGGTGTCTCCTACACTCGCTCTCTTCTGCTTCCCCCCTCATTCAAGAAGATCAGAGTTGAATCAAGCATCTGAAAAAAACCCTGCTTTGAGTTTAGATTCTCAGATTCTCTGTACTAGTGACGCACTGAAATGAAAATTCTTGGCTGGGCCACAAACTAACATTGAAAACCAAGGATTAAAAAAAAATAATAATAATTTTTTTAACCATTAAATAATTTACTTTTATTTGCTTTTTATTTATATTACAAAGTTAGAGAAGGCAGAGAATTGCCTACAGTGACTTCCTAGCACTGTTTGAACACATCAGCGATGACTGGTGAAGGACTGCAAACAAAACAGTGTCTTTTTTAACCGCTACTTTGAATTCTTATTGCCAGTGAACTGATTTGTAATGTTGTAGGCTTATTTAGCCTTTAAAGGAATCTTAAAAAATGAAAACACCACCACTTTTTCAGACAAAACTGAAGTCAATTTTTTGACCAAAAATTGAAAGGGTCAAATTTTCAGAGGTTTCAAATCATCTTTGGCAAATAGCCCTAACATTTTGTCTTGTGCAGTACAGTGCAGCTATATATCTTTCTAGTCAACACACTAGTTTTCATGCTAAATGTAGATAAGGCTGATACAGAGTGCCCATGTGTAAAAGCTGTATTGTTTGTGTAGTTATGCAGTGATAGCCTACGGCTGTGCGGAGTGTCCTAAGCTGAGCTGTGGCCGAGAGGGCTGTGACACTGAGTTCTGCTACCACTGCCGTCAGCTCTGGCACCCTGACCAGACCTGTGACCAGGCCAGGCGGCAGCGTGCCCGTCACACCTCGGGGGCAAATGACGCATCCACACTGTACGTCTTCAGCGAGGAGCCTGGCGGAGGTATGGCAGAAAGTACCGCATCTCTCGACAGTCTTCTTTACTGGCTATGAGTACAATGGTTTTTTGGATAATTGACCATTTGCAAAATTGACAAGTCCCACCTCTCTCAGTTATCAAGCCACCTGATGTATCTGTAGCACTAACTCTAACATACTTAAGGAAAAGGTAGAAGCACACAGTTAGGAGTACATTTAAAACACTTTCTATTCAGAAATAAACTGGCTTTACACGATGTTCAGTGCAGACATGCATGTTTGAACTGATAAAACGTGTGTTGGCCAATTTAAAGCGAGCAAAAATTGCATTCTGGAAACCATGTTTACATTAAATAAACCAGAGAAATTGTTTAGTCACTTGATGTTAAAGAGGCTGTTTTTCATGTCTAATAAGGAGAAGAATTTAGTGACAGGAGCTACACCTTGAGTGAAGCTAATGCTAAAGCTAACACTTGAGCTTGTCAGAGCAATGTTGGTTGCTGAGGAGGACTTATCTTTTACATCAAGTCTTTCAGTAAAGTTTCAGGGAACAATACAAAGAACAGCAAATGTTCGATTGAATTAATCTTTACACATTGTTTTAGTCACAAATATGAGCTCTGTACAGTCTTAGTTAATCTGGCTGATTTATTAAGCTACCTGTTAGCAAAGAAAAAAAGGCTGATCTCCTTTGATATATATTGATATATTTATCATTTGCGATCCTATAAAATTATTTTAGCAAATACAGTAACACAGATACTTTTTCAGCTTCAGGGAAAAAACAAAAACAAAAACTTCCTGGAGATCAGGTTAGCATGTTTTGAGGCATTATACATTCCTCAGTAACACCTTTCCACCAATTCCTATAGTAATTCTACTCCTACTAATTTACTGCCAGTGTCTTACCGAAGGCTTGTCCTGAGAGGTTCTTCCTTTGCCTGATTGAGGAAAGAACCAGAGCCAGTTTAAGGGGAGCCTGGCCACTTCCTATTTCTCCCGTTATATCAAAAACATGACTTCAAAATGCCAGAGCGTGCTCTCAAGCAATTCCTAAATGAATGAGTGTTAATGAAGCAAAATGGCTAAAAACAAAAAGTTAAAACCATTTCTAACCACGTGTCCAGGACCTTCCTTTTTATTTTAGAAAGTAGAAGAATGTATTTCACTTACTGTGTTACTGTGTGAACAGGTTTTGGGCAGGACAGCGCTTGCATTACTGCTAGTGCATGCCGATTGGTTAAAGAGCGGAGCAGCTCATTGGCTGAGTGAGTCAGTTCATGCTCACTGACATTATGAATGTACATGAGGCTCCATTATAAAGTCCTATAAGTTCAGAAGTGCTCAAAAATATAACAGCAGCGTTCAAATGTTTTATGCTGGTCTGTGTTCAGAAAACGAACTCCATTCAGGAATGAATTCTATTAACCCATTCATTTTGGACTCATTCAGAGGGCCCTCTAGCATCTGACAAACCCACACATTACTGAGTGGCAGTGCTCCTCTCGACAGATTCTCTAGAAAGAACATTTTCAGTCAATTGTCATAATTTTTGCAAATGGTCAATTGGTCTAAATCTTCTTTGTGGTGCATGCAGTTTTTCAGATGAACAGAAACATATTATGATATAACAGAGTGTCACATAACGATAACATATCTTCATATTCTTCTAGTAAGCCTACAGAAACGCAATTGCGCTTAATCTAGGCTGTTAGGGTTTTTGCCCTTGCGACCCAGAGTGATTATGGCTGCTGTGTGTGCTGCAGATGCGGAGGAGATTAAAGCATGTCCGCGTTGTGGTGCCTATATCATGAAGACCAATGATGGCAGCTGCAATAGGATGAACTGCACGGTGTGTGCGTGTCAGTTCTGCTGGCTGTGTATGCAGGAGATCACAGACGTGCACTACCTCAGGTACCAGCACACGTACACATACATATTGAATTCTCCAGTTACTTCAAGAGACACATGCTGTCATTGTTGTTAACTCAGCAGAACAGCTACATGTGTAACCTGAGTTCATATGCTGCTAATAGCACCTTTACTTTGTATGTTAATAGACACCTGCTCATCCAACATGTTTTATTAAAGAGTTTTTTCTGGGAAAGCTTTACACTAGATGTTGTAATGTTGCTGTGAGGATTTGATTATAGTGAGCCATAAGTGAGGTCACACATTAGCGAGGTCACGTACTGATCACAATATTCACTCCAACTCAACCTAAAGGTATTGGATGGAGCTCCATCACTCAAGGAAATGTAGTTCCACTGCTCCACAGCAGAGTGATGGGAGGCTTTATACCCCTCTAGCTGATGCTTGGCGTTGTACATGGTGATCTTAGGTCATGTGTGGCTGCTCCAGAGCATTCCATTCCTTTGGCAATGCTTTTTTATGGAGAGGGGGTGCAAGACAGAAGATGCATAAGTTCATGAAATTTCTTTAAAATCGGCAAATCTACTTGTTAGGATACAAGCCCAGTCCAAATCCAATGAAAAATCATTCCTCACATGAACCTACTGGACCTACTGAACCAACTAGGCCAAAAAGATACAGAGTTTTGGCCCAGTTGGGCTTAGGTCCAGTTGCAGACACTCAAAGATTATCCTTATAGAATAGAGTGTAGCATGTTTAATCTTTTAGGACTTAAACCATTTTTTAGTTTATCTATTTTGATTTTGGTTTTTGGTTCTATTTTGCATTTTGGATACCCCAAAACATTTCTACAGGGAACTGGCCTGAGCCTTGGCTCTTTACATGACCAGTCAACGCCCCTGTCTCTGGGTGGGTAGGATCGCCTCTCTCTCTGGGTTGGTAAGATGGTCCTACCTCTTCCCCATCACTCAGCATGATGCTAGCCAATATGGGCATCTTTTAGCTAACATAACAGTTTTGGTAGTAAATGTCGTCCTAAAAGCGTGTTCAGCTGTCCAATGACACCAATTTAGCTGCAGTGCAAAAAAGAGACCTCATTAGCGAGTAGGAATTAGCCATGATTAAACAGACTAGATTAAAAAGCAGAAACACTGTCTTTAAAGGGTTAAAGGCTGGTTGGAAAAGCAGTGATTCCATGCTTTGCTGCTGGACTATCACTGCACTGAAGTTGAGGGCATTATTGATTTTTCCGCTCTTGGGCACCAGCCAGCGCAGACTTTCATCAATTAATCAACGAAATCTCTTCATATTTCCATGCCTGTGCAAGCCAACCCTGCAGGAGTTGCTTGAAAGCTGATTAGCTAAATTTCTTACTTTCCTGCAAATTAAAACCTGATTTTATTTTTGGTGGATTACAAGTTGTATATTAATCTGTAAGATTTATTTAGAAGAGCTAAAAGTAGATTTTTGGTTCCATAAGGCTAAATTGAGTCAGCTTTTTTTGAATGTGGTGTTTTCTTTTACTCGCTATGATGAGTTGGCAGTGAAAGACGATCACAGTGTGTGTGTTTGTGTGTGTGCTAAAATGGTGAATGTCTGGCTCTGTTCTCTTTCACGTCTCGTGCTGACGTGTGTCCCCTCCTCTCCTTGTCCGAGTGCTTCTGTGCAAACAAGGACAACGTGAAGCTCTCCTCACCAACATTTTTATTTTCAATTTGACTCTGTTTTTCTCTCTAACTCTGCTCTGCTCTTGAGCATTGACTACATCCAATATTAAGCTCAAATGTCGCTCGTAGTGCAGTGTTTTGTCGCAGCACTCCATAGTGATCTCAGCTATTTGGCCATCCGAGCAACAGAATGAAGCAAAAAGAGACATTAACTGCAAGGATCATAATTCAGAAAGGCAGGCATTGGCATGAGGCTAACCGAGGATGAGATCATAGAATATTGATCAGTGTGTGTGTGTGTAAGAGGTTATAAAATAGCTGATTGGCTGAACTATAAACCCCCAATCATACAGCCCTTCCCCCACTTGCACACTGTCCTTAACTTTAACTGTGGATTGATTAAATGGTTGTAAACAAATGGGCATATTTGTCCAGTTGAGTCATCACTGCAGAGGTCAGTTCAGGGGTTCCAGTCACTTGTTAGAGAAGTAGAAGAAATTCCATAAAATAAACATCCTTTTTCCTGTTAAATCTAAACAATTCTTCATTGGAAGACAATAATAAAAGCTTAAAATACACAGCTTAAACTGTTTACCAGCTGGATGACAGTCCATCATAGACAGACTGTCTATGATCTCATTGACACAGTGTCTATGACACTGATCATTAATGTATGTTAACATTTCCTGTAGTTTCTGAATCAAGAAGTGAGAAGTATTAAAAAATAATTATTTATATTATAAACCATAGTAAAAAGCTTTTATTTATATTCAGATTTATTTCAGTCAAAAAGAAGTGGTCAAGCAGTTGCACATGAATAAGATTTGTTACATCAGCATAGCCATGATGAAACAGCACACAAATGCTGAGGAAACATATCCCTAACTGAGTATATTTTTCATACAATAAGACTAAATTTGATTCCCGAGGATAACACTTAAAGTACTACAGAAGATTCTATGAAAATATATTGGTTATTGTAAGTTTTCCTTATTTTAACTACTTCTCAGAGTACCTCTTAATAAGCTTGCAGGTGAACCCAAAACAATTACCAGCTAATTTATATTTTCTTCTCTTGTCCTTTCTCTGTATTTTCTCTAGTCCCTCAGGCTGCACTTTTTGGGGAAAGAAGCCGTGGTCACAGACGCGGAAGGTCCTGTGGCAGGTGGGCATGCTGCTGGGGGCTCCAGTAGTGATCTCACTCATTGCAGGCATCGCCATACCAGTCATCATTGTGGGCATCCCAATTTACATGGGCCGCAAGGTAAAGAGACTTCAGCTATGTTGCCATTACTCAACGCTGCATCAACACTGGCCTTGTGGTGAAATAGGTCTACAAGCATTTAATAGCTCTGAGTAGACCATAGAGACAAGGTCATGCCAAGGGTTGACCACATCCGCTATATTAAGAGCGCTGCTAAATACATTAATGTAAATTTATGCAGAGGGGTCAGCCCTCATGTCCTCCACCATTTAGCAGGGCTACCTGTAACAGGGAGGAGTCCATATTCCCAAGGAAATAGAAGCCCGATTTGGAAGAAGTAGCTCAGCTGTTTGTTTGTGAATATCGGAATCTTGCTGAGTAGATTCTACATCCAGGAATATAAAACAGATTTTTCCAGGAATCTGATTGGCTTAGCTGCGTTCAGCACTACTGTATAATACCTGATATACACACACATAATTTAACTGCACACATCAACTGAATTATGTGTTAATGCATCAATTTATTAAAAACCATTGTGCTGTCTTTGAGCGTTATGTTGTTTGGTAACAACAGCCTGCACTGTAAAAACTGTAAAATTTACAGTAATTTACCAGCAGCTTAGTTGCCAGTAAATATACAGTGTAGGACTTTATGGCATTTAACAATAATTTTACAAGAATACAATTACTGTATTAAAACCACAATATTCCATCAAATCACAGCATTCAAATATCTACAGTCATTCTGGACACTGTTATTGTTATTGTTTGTACTGAAAATATTTACATTATTGAAAATATTCATTAAAGCAGTTGTTTACAGTGTACTGTTAACTGACTGCATTAGTGGATTAATTGTTCATTGTGTTTATTGAACATAATTATTTATTGAACATTGATGCATTAAAATATTGTATTATGTCACTGTTTTATAAAAGTAATAAGCCATTCACGGCCAGCCATTTTGCTTTACTTCACATGAAGTGCCAACACCCTTAACCACTGTAAAATCACTACATAACATGGCCTCAAGCAGCTTGTTGCTTTATTAAAACCTTACTTCTCTCATTATTCTTGTTTGTATCTGTTACTGTCTTTCTCAGGTCCACAGTCGCTGTAAGAAAAACAATATCTCAGGAAGTAAACATTACTTGACAGTGGCCAGCGGGGTCATGACATCAGTGTTTGTCTCTCCAGTCATAGCAGCCACTACTGTGGGTAAGACACACATCCTTCCATTTCACTGTTTTTCAGTACATTGTAAGCCTATAATATTTTGCTGTACCGATATTTACATGCCCGTATTTATTTGTTATATTTGGTAAGAATTGTTCTTCCTCATTTCTATGACAGTGAAATGCACCATGTTATAATGGTCTATGCACTATGAAATTATCCATGGGTGAGTGGTAATGTTCTGGAAAGCTCTGGGTACTGCCCTTGGCCAGGAGCCTGTATTTAACGAAGCTGGCCTAAGGCAGGTGAAAAGTGCTGAGTAAGGGTTCAGTGTAATGGTGTCCATCCAAAGGAAGACTTCAGCACTAGATCACTCTCACGACAGAGCACTGCCTCCTGCTAGGAGCCTCCATCTGGGAGAAATGCACTGTATATACACACACTAGTAAATTATGCACACATGCACAAACACATATGCATAGTAAGGGTATACAGTATAACGGAGGGCATTATTTGATGATAAGTTAAAAATGGAACTACAGACCTCAAAAAAAAAAGAACTTGGGGCAGTATGTTAAATGCTAATTAAAACAGAAAGCAGTGATTAGTAAATTCTGTTTAACCTGTATTACATTTAAAACAATACAAAAACATTTTTTGATATCTAAAATTATAAAATGTGTTATTTTTTCATAAATGTGGCTTGTTGTTGTCATGTTCTTAATAAGCATGGATGTCCCTGAAAAAGACATTATCTACAAAGTAGCATACGTTGCTCCAAAATGTGTTTATGTATTTCAGCGGTAATAGAACACAAGTTACCCATGCCATGCCCCCAGACCATGACAGACCCTGGTATTTTAACTCTACAGTGGTAACAATATAAGTGCTCCTTTTGTACTTTGAGGACACAACATCCATTATTTGCCTTAACAGTCTGAATGTTTGCCTTATCAGGCCACAACACGTTTCCGTTGTGCTTCAGACCATTTCAGATAAGTTTTAGCTCAAGGAAGTCAGTAGTGTTTGTGGGTGTTGTTGACTTATGGCTTAAATTGTACAAATGCAATTTAAGACTGTTCATAGTACAGCCTTAAATTGCATTTGTAGATGCAGTGACAAACTATGTTTATTGATAACAGTTTGACAAAGTATTATCAAGACCATTTGGTAGTCCACATCACAGAAGTGTGCCTGTTATTAATGCAGTGCCATTAAGCATGACTGCATGACCTGTTTAAGATGTTTTTTCTTAGATTGCTCCTCTCCCAACTTTTTTGGAACGTGTTACAGACATCAAGTGTAGAATGAACATATATTTACAAAAAAAACAACAACTTATAAGGTAAAATATTAAATATCTTGTCTTTGTACTGTTTTCGATTAAATGCAGGTCAAGGTAGATTAGATTTACACACATCACTGCTTTCTGTTTTTATTTGCATTTCACATGCTGTCTTTTTGGAATTGAGGTCTGTGCTATCAGTCCAGTATTAGAATTACAGCTAGTAATTATCATTAACTTGTGATTTGTTTGCAACAAATGTTCAGGAAAGGTACCACAATAAAACACATAGACGAATTTCAAGGTCGTCCATCTAACTAGTCATTTGAAAACTCATCATTCCAGTCATCTATACAGCTGGCATCTTTATAGGATTTTTAGGGAAAAGTTATAGTAAACAGTTGTTTTAAAATACAAAAAAGTAAAATTGCTGCTTATATGTACCGATATCAGTTACAAAAAGGCTTTAACTATCAGTTATTATTACTGGCCAGTGTGTCATACACACCAATGCACGTACAGGCACTTCTTGCTGTTGACATAGTGGTGGCACATGTGCAAGTGTCTGCTTCTTTGCACTCAGATGGAGAATAGGCTCTGTGTAGCCTCTCACATACAGCAGGCAGTAAGTCTTGTTTTCATTTTCCCTCACGCACTGAATAACTGTTCCCCCACCACCCTCCCACCCACCCACTTTGATGAGTCATGTGTCCTCAGTATTAGCACTGCAGTAAGGGCTCTGGTGGCCAGTGTCAGAGCAATCTTCGTAGCATGGCCCCCTCCCCACTACCACCTCAAGCGCTCTTGCTCTCTCTCCTTGCCTGTGAATAGCCCCGTCTGTTCTCAACACTGACCTGGCCTCAGCAGAGCAACAGAGGGGCCCTGTCCCCCGAGTACAGCTCTGCCCCGGAACGGCCGCAACAATGCTACTCTGTTCTGGCCTGCACCCTCTAGAACGATGGGCCTTTGTTTCCTGGGCTGTGTGGTCCACGTCCCCTGTCTCTACTAGCCAGCATTATGCCTGTCTGTGTTTATGCCGTTAAGTGGAATTATTGCTCCACATTTTCTCTGTCAGCATCATAAAAAATAAGGATTCTGGCCCTTAGTCATTAAAGTTGCATAAAGCACTAGAAAATATGAAATCTTGGCAAGAGAAAACATCTTAAATTTAGTCTAATACAGTACTGGGCAAAAGTCAGTGATCACCCTTACAAGTACAAGTTATTTATTTTTCAGTGTCAGAAAGAATCATCTATCAAACAGAAAATTACACAGAAGCCTTGACAACTAAATATCATTTCTAATGTTTCAGTATTTAGTGTGTCCACTATTTGCCTTTATTACAGCTTCCATTCTTTTCAGGACACTCACTTTCAGTTGTTCAAACAAATCTGCAGGGACATTTTTCCACAAAGTTCAGTTTTAGCTGCTATGCTTGCATTTTCTGCTTGTCTCAATCCAAGTAATATTGAACACATTGAGGTCTGGGCTCTGGGGTGGTCAGTCCATTGTTCTGAGCAGCGTCTTTGCTTGATTTGCAAATTTTCTTCTGTTTTGTCGACTTAGTTTTTCTCAACACATCCTCACACAGCTACACATCCACTTAGATAGTATTGAGTTTTCTTCTCACAGTGGAAAGATGTACTCTAGATTTTTTCAGATCTGATGCAAGACTGGAGCTTGATTATCTCCTCTCTCTCAAATATGAAAACTTTAGGTACAGTTTATCTGATGGCAACAGTTTTGGTGGTCTAAGAGGTCTTGCATGTTAGTTAGGAGTCCCATTTTCTTTATGACTTTGGTCATTTTTTTAAACTTAACACTCCTGTTTTTTTTTATTTTGCTTTGGTTTTCCCCTTCCTTATGCAACTGGATTACCTTATATCTAATCTCAGCAAAATCTCCTGAAAAATGAATAACTGTCCGTTTTGACTTGAAATTAAATAGACAAGGGGTGGTCTCTGACTTTTGCATAATACTGTATATCTGATGTTTCTCATTGTGAGGTTGTTGTAAGAATATGATAAGATCATTCAAGCTGTGGCTAGATTTCCAAAAAATGATTTTGTCTCATGAACCTATTATCAAATTTTACCAGATATTTTTGCTTGCTTCAAGAAATAATGATTGAACAAGCAAAAAATCTGGCAGTTTTGTGAGAAAATTCCACAAGATAAACAACTCCACAATGTCTAGATTGAAACTAGAACAAAATATTGAACAATCTTATCACATTCTTACAACAGTCTCTAACTGATTCACCAGATTCAGATTGTATAACCCTGAAACAGTGCTTTGAGCACAGTGGTGAAATCAGTGTCAGCAGTGCAGAAAAAGGCACCTGCACGCTAGAGCTTGATTAATATTTGTTTTGGGGCTGTCAATTGATTAAAATAATTAATAGCAAATAATCATACACAAACTACATTTGTGTAGTTAGTAACAATTAAGTCTTATTTGCCCAAATTTGACCCTAAATAATGTTTTTTTCATTTAAAAATGTTTTGTTAGTTGTATAAGCAGACAAAATAGGCTTCGTCAGAATGTATTTATTACATTTAATAGTTTAATAGCATTATTTTCATTGTGTGAATGCAGTGAGCCTGAACATGAAAATCATAGGATGAACACACCACTGATGCTGAAATCAAACTTCAGAATTGATGTACTTCGATAACAATCAATAACTATAGCTGGTTTCATCAAGAAAGTCATCGATGGAACTTGTTATTCAAAAGCAATATTTGAACAAGAGTCAACAACAGCATGCAAGCAGCTGAGCTTCACATTGCTCTACTGCTGTGGATGGTTTGAGGGGTCCAACTAAGAAAATTTTTTGGCTTTAAAAATGAGTGATTTCAATAATTTATTCTGTTGATGTGTTAACACATTAACTTTTACAGCACTAATCTACTTGCAAATTCACTTGCACACCCAATTTAGCATATTTATGTCCCGATTCCTGCAAGTGTTGCAATAGTGAGCCAATAAAACAATTAAGCAGGCAAATGAGCCAGTCGTGACAATTCCACATTCAAGCAGAACACTGAGGTCTTCCTGGGCTGCTAAATCTGCTACTCAAGTGCTGTTTATACTTGCTGCTCTTCATAAGTGCAAAATTCAGATTCACATTTATAAATTACATGTTAACAGTATTTAAACTGTGTACTCAATTATTATCATTTATACTTTCTATGAGCTAATGTTATCCTTTCTTGTTCTTACCTATGATGATTCAGGCTTCTCTCTGTCTTTTCAGCGGTCGGAGTGCCTCTGATGTTGACATATGTTTACGGTGTGGTTCCTATGTCTCTGTGTCGGAACGGCTGGTGCAGGCCTCAGGCCGAACCCCCTGAAACACGCAAGATCCAGCTGGAGGACCTGGCCACTTGTGAGTCCTCCACCACAAGAATGACATCTGTGACCAGAGTGCCTTTTTTGGACATGATATTTTCAGAAGTACCTCATTTTGTGTGAGACAAATATGCCAAAAATGAATTCTGTAGCAGAGCACAGCTTGCGCCACTGCAGTAATGCATAAAACATATATAAAGTGTAGGTTAAAATGTATATTGTTATATTAGTGAACTGCAAGTCCTGTAAGGGCTTATCATAACTGCCCTTGTATCTTAAGATTGGTAATTTGGAGAAAGAAATAAAGTTCTTAATATCGGTTAATGTCATGCAGTGTAAAAATCTGAAGGCTTTTTCTTGTTTACACTTTGCTTGTGTAGGACAATGTGTTTTAAAATGATCTGAAAAACAATACAAGTTTATTATTAACTTAATGCCGACAACATTATTTATGCTGCATCAGTAACTCAGTTTGAAAAATCACATGATATTGTTTAATCACAGTTCGACCTTCTGATCTGATGAAGTTTCAACTTCTCTTGAAGATCTTTTGTTTTCTCATGTAGTCAGTGATCACTGGACTGGAGAGCCCAAGCCAGCTCTGAACGATGCCTCTGTCCAGGAAGTGAGTGTTAGCGTGGAAGAAGTGGCAGCGTTCCCGAGTACCAGCGCTGTCCTGTCGCAACCTGAGGACTCCTCTGATCCACCTGATGATGGACAGGCGGACAGCGCTGAGCAGGATGACCAGTCGGATGATGTTGATGCAGTTGAGCAGGGTGCCTTCAGCGGCACACAGACTACTTTTGCCTTGAGGTGAATCCTAAATCATCAGATATCGGGACTGATTAACAAGGCTGGACTTCTCAGTAAGAGCGTCCGGTTATAAAGACCTCTACTTCTTCTTCTATTGGATGTTTGGCTTAAATTAACGGACAAACTGAGAAATCCTGCTTTGTGAAATATGTGCATCATCTCTAAAGACCTGAGTGAAATACACTCTTAAAAATAAAGATGCCCACAAAGAGTTGTTTGGAGTGAGACATAGAAGAACCACTTTTGTTTCCCTAAAGAACCTTTCAGTGGAGTGCTCTAAACATTAAAGAACAACACTTTTGTTCTTTAATGTTTAAAGGAACACTCTGTATTGCAAAGGTTCTGTATCAGTTAAAAAGTATTTCCTAAAACCAAATTTCCAGGCCAAGAACTGTTAAGAAACTTTATTTATTTATTTCCATTCACATCACACTGTCCTAATTCATTTCTAAAATGCAGTACAGTTTCAACCCTTAGAAGTAACACTTATAACAAAACTACACTATATGGACAAAAGTATTGAGACACCTACACATTACACCTATAGGCATTCATAGGGAGTTGGTCCCCCCTTTGCACTATTACAGCTTCTGCTCTTCTAGGAAGCTTTCTACAAGATTTTGGAGTGTGTCTGTGGGAATTTTTGTCCATTCATCCAGAAGAGCATTTGTGAGGTCAGACACTGATGTTGGATGAGAGGGCCTGACTTACAATCGCCGTTCTAGTTCATCCCAAAGGTGTTTAATGGGATTGAGGTCAGGGCTCTGTGCGGACCAGTCAAGTTCTTCCACACCAAACTCACCCAACCATGCCTGTATGGACCTTACTTTGTGCACTGGGGCTCAGTCATGCTGGAACAGAATAGCGCTTTCCCCAAACTTTTATCACGAAGTTGGAAGCAAACAATTGTCCAAATGATCTTGGTATGCCAAAGCATTAAGATTTCCCTTCATTGGAACTAAGGGGCCCAGACCAACCTCTGAAAAACAACCCCATAGCATTATTCCCCCTCCACCAAACCGTAATGTTGACCCAGACTCGTCCATCAGTCTGCTTGTGGACTTGTTCACTTTTTTCCTATCTCAAAGATGAATGTTTTAAGTACTGCTTGTCTGATGATGACAGTTTTGGTGGTCTTGCACAGTTGTTAGAAGTCCTATTTGAAACTATTTGATATTTGACATTATACTTTGTGTTGGAAGCTTTTGTGTATTTTACTGGTTAAATATATGTTTTCTGCTTTTTTCTGACACTGAAAAAATGAATAACTTGTACTTTATGGCCATATTGACAGGAAATTGAATACACTAAAGGGTGACAATAACTACATTTAAAAACTAGCAAAACAATGATGATTCTAGAGATCTATAGATTAAAGAAATACGCTGGTATTGCTTTTTTTCGGATGCAGGGAGGGGACCAACATTGAGGTGCGGGTGGAGATCGAGGCTCAGCCGCGGAGAGGCCGTCAGCCCAGCCTCAGCAGCGTCCTCTCTAGCAGGAGCCTGTCAGCAGAATCCCTGCATCACTCGCACGAACCTCTCTGTGCCTCACAACAGCTAAAGAGCGGAGACCCCCCGCCACTCACTGAGACGGACAACGTCTGAGCCACAGCCAGGCCACACCCGCTTCCACCGCCCACTGCACCGCCCACCAGCCGCTTCTAGCCTCTGCCTCCTAATGCAGAGTCAGCGACATGGAGACGAATGGAGTGAGAGAGCAGGAGAATGAGAGAGACACCAAGAGAGAAAGAGTTTAGAATAAGGAAAGAGGGCATGGAGACGAATGTCCAGGGCAGCTGCCCAAAAAATGCCACGAAGAGGATTACTGACTATAATAGTGTCTAAAATGACAGAGAGCATGTTTGTCAACTAGTCCCATGGGTGTTAGCTCTTCTTTTTTTACACTGTGTTGCAGTGAAGAGGTTGCCTACCCGGATGGTGTTCTGTTTAATTTATTTGTTTAGCCCTTCTTATAGCTACAATATATACCCTTGTACTTAGCAGCTATTTGATTTCACCCCCCCCTCGAATAACAATAAATTGAAGAAACGACCGCATGATTTCTTCTGCAAGGTTCTGTGGCCTAATTTGATTTGCAACCGTACACTGCCACGGTGTGGAATCCAATGCTTCCTTGGCTGGAGATTATAGTGCTTCAGGCTACAGTGCAACAGGGTATCTAGGGCTTTCCCTTATGGTGTTCATTCACTTGAATTATGCAAGTTTTTACATAACACCAGGCCACGTCCCATTTTAAGTGAGAAGCAGTGGAAACAATGGGATAGATTTAGCCCTCATTCATACTTCTCTACTGCTGTAATCTCTTAAAACAAAGCTCCCTGTGTGTAGCAATTAGCTAATAAGCCCTGTAACTTTATCAACGCAGTTAAAAAGAACTTGGCCAAAATGTTTATGATCCGTAACTGTATTCTCCTCAGTGTGTAAGACCACAAATGGCTGACTGATATTTATTTCAACATGCATTGTTTTATGATGTTTCTAGTGGGCCACCACTTCTCAAATGACTGATTGAACCAAGGAACTAGGTTCAACTTAGATAACAGAACTACGTGGGCTCTTGTTTACACGGTGAGATTGATATCTATACAGTTGTATGCAAATGTTTGGGCACCAAATTACATGTTTTGTTAATTTTCTAAATGAAAATGCAGCAAACTATGTAAGGAAATGAAACAAATTCTGTAAATGTTACTCCTCAGCTACTTTGTATTTGACTTAAAAAATACAAAACTAATACTAAAGCTATGATCCCGGCCAAAGGGAGTGTTAGAATATACTGAATTTGTACATTAGTACAAATTCAGTATATTCTAACACTCCCTTTGGCCGGGATCATAGCTTTTGGAAACCTTGTGTTTCTTGACTGACTGTGTCACAATTGCTTCTAGAATTTGCTGATATTTAGTGGGATCAATTCTTCCTTGTAGTCATGCAGTATTTTCTGTGCCACTTGCTGCCACCCAGAACCAAAGCAAATTAGATGCACCCCTATACTTAACAGTTTGCAAGGTGTTCTTTTCATCAAATGCTGCTGCTTTTTTTTTTTCTCCAAACACTTCTTTAGTGATTGTGGCCCTAGAGTTCCATTTTATTTCAGTTCACAGCACTGTCCAAAATGCCTCTGACATATCTAGATGTTTTTCTGCATACTTCAGATATTGACTTATGATGAGGTTGCAGGTGAGGTTTCCTTTTAATACCTTTACAGTGCAGATCATGTTTGTTCGAGCAACACTGCTTGGTATAACAGAACTTCACCACTCCTATATCAGCTTAACCGTCCTGCAGGTCCTTTGCTGTCATATGGGGGGGGGGTTGCTTTTCAGAACTGCACATGAGCAGTTCTATGTGAGAGTTTTGTCTGTTTTCTGATCTTCCACAGCCTTTACTTGCCTTCACTTTCACAGCCTTCACTTGCCTTCACTTTCACAGTTCCTTGCCTTCACTTCCATAGTTCCCCTTCCACTTCAAAAAACAACATGTAATTTGACCAGGGGTGGCAAAACTTTTGCATACAACTGTATACCATTAGCTTGGTGTGCTGTAGACTGTACAGGAGTAGATATCATGTTTGCCCAGCTGTTCTTAGTACATGAGGAACCACTTCTAAATGTCCATCCCTGAAGAGGAAGAAGAGAGCCATGGTAATATGGACGATAAATCTGTTTTCAACTGCTGGAGTATAACAGTCCCTCAATTCACACCCACAGCATATAGAGGCATGGAGGCTCTTTACAGAAAACACCCAGGTCTGCTCTTTGTGAGTCAGCACTAAAGGAAAACCTCACTTCGGCATGTCAAATGAAGCCTCTGCTTTCCTGAAAAAAGCCAATTGATAAAATCCCCTGAATTTGATGTTTGAAAGAAATCACTAGATGTGGGTTGGTACCCATGGATCCAAAGTTATCGAAATGTGCAATGTAGGCTTGGAAAAATGGCGCATAAATAAACATTCTGAAAGATGAGCCTTGTTCTTGGCAAGTATGAGTTTTTCTAGTCTGATTTAATATATTTCTTTATTGTCTTATTAGAAAACTACTGCCATAATAAACATGTCAAGCTTTACCTGAGTGTATATTGTGCCTATTAGATTACATATCTGAGCTTGGTCACGCTGCCATGCTGTTTCTCAGTGCTGTAGTAACTGTATAGCACACAAAGAGGGAGCTATAGGACAGGCTTTGAATTGTATGAGGCAGAACTGCAAGGACACTGGCACACTACATTGCTTCTACAGAGCAATGTTGAATGTTGTCGTAGTAAATAACTAGGTTTCTGAAGTAATTAATAAATAAATGAAAATACACTTACAATCCTCAGTCTTAAAACAACAAAGCGTCTGACCTGACATGGCATTTTTTAAGAACAAGAAAGGATGTGATTGAGGACACATTGCCCTAAAAATGTAAGTCATTCTAAAGAGATTATTGTGCTTTGCCCTTTTTGTAAATTGTGGAGTCATAACCCAGCTACTTTGCTACTTTTGGGAATGCAGTCATTTGAAAGAACATAGCTTGATATCAGAGGCTTAGCTTTAAAAATATGTTTGTGCTTGTAACTTTACACTTCTTTCAAAGAAGATCACTAAATGTAGGTGCATAACTAAAAAAAATAGTTGACTGAGGTTTTTATAATAGGCTAGCCTTTATGATTAAAAAAGCATTTGTTTGTACAATCTAGACTCCAGCCTGTAGAATCAGAACCTTGCTATACAGTTACTACAAGAACACAGTCATATAGGAGATTTTAGTTTGATAGCAGTTAGGGTAAGCAAGGATAGCCTGCAAACAAAACATATAAGTTTCATGAAAACTTAATACATTAATTAAAAAAAGACTTTAGGACACCTGCTATATACCACCAGGCTAGTAAAACTCTAGCTATTTATACTACATGAATACAGTCCTTTAAAGGTTTTAGTTGGACACCAACTGGGGTATCTGCAGATGACTATATAGCCTACATGTGAAAAACAACTTTATACACCTTTCAGAATAGACTTCAGGGTGCTATTTGGCTGTTGTAGACATCTTTTTTGTTCTGAAATAAATGCCAAATAAATGTTTCCCATGGCTTTATACTATGCCTTTATACTAAGCCTGTATCAGCTTAATGATTAATGTTTTTATCTTGTATTTTACTATTACAGATGTTGGAACACTGCTGTGAGGACTTGATTACACGCAGCCTCAAGAGCTTTAGTGAGGTGCTGTACTGATGTTGGATGATTAGTTCTGGATCACAAATGCCACTTCAACTCATCCCAAAAGTATTGGACAATGCTCCATCACCCCAGAGAGCACAGATCCACTGCTCGATGGCCCAATGCTGTGGGGCTTTATACCCCTCTAGCTGACACGTGCCATTGGTCATGGTGACCTTAGGCTCATGCAGCTTCTCCAGAACATCATATTCTACTGGCTTTGCTTTTCTATGTAGATTATACAGGCTATCTCTGTGCAACTGAGCACCCGTGTCAGCAATGGGTGCACCGTAAAATAACTAAATTCAGTAATCAGAGGGATGTCTGGATACTTTTGGACAGTGTACTTTGCCAATACAGGAATGCAGTCATCTGAAAGATCCCAGTTTGATAACAGTTGGAGTATGTGAGCCTATATAGCCTACACATATTTCCATCAAGTGGAAGCACGTATGACGTGGAAGCCTGTATAAAGAAAATAAAATGGGCCCTAAGATGGAGCCATCTTAAAAATCTTGCCATCTGAAGAGCGAATGTGTGATCTTTAAGGTAAGAGGAAAACCAGACAGAAGCTTCCCCATGAATACCCACACCACGATTTAGACAATCCAAGAGAATTTTATGGTCAGTTGTATCGAATGCAGCAGTAAGATTAAGCATAACGTCACTGTTCATAGAAAAACATTTTTATTTTTCTACACCATTTGAAAACAGCAGCTGCCCTTTACACTGTGTAAAAATATCATGATAATTGAACAAATAGAAATGCTTTAAAATCACTTGGAATAAAATCCCTGTACATTAACTTACATTAAAAGCTAAGACCGTTTTTGCCCTCTCCTGTAAAGTTACTTTTTGGGAGTTACTAGTTTTTCTGGGGACAGTGACGATAATTAAAATGACAGTCACCAGAGTCAAGTGAAAGTAGTAAATCATTTATACACATACACATATATAGAAACATTTAAATAAATAAATAAATAAATAAATAAAAAAGTTAAGCCTTTTACATCTTTTCAAGGCTTTAGGGCTCAATCTTGCAACCGTAGGCTTCTGATGTGGTCTATTTTGATGATTAGCCTAATGACTACACACAGGACTCTCTCCCTCCGCAGTCCCCGCATTTTGATGTTAGATGAGGATGTAGGCGTGGCCAGCGCGAGCGCGCACCTTCTCTTCTGCACAGTGCGCGTGGAGAGGAAAGGAAAGGGTTAACGGCGCTTTTCTCTCACGGACGACCCTAAAGCGTGCTGTGTAGCGTTGCTCCCCTGTTCTCTATCGCTCTATCCTCTCTTCCTTCACAGGCTGCTCCTGCGCTCCCAGCCCGAGGAGGAGGAGGAGGAGGTGGAGGACTCCACCTGGCAGGCGAACACCTTCACGGCATGGATGCGTTAAAATCCGCCGGCAGGGCCATCATCAAAAGTCCGGGAGTTCCGCGGCACACATGGGGAACCTCCAAGCACGAAAGTGAGTAGTGATCAGTGCTGAGGCGGCTGTGTGAGTGACCACGCGGTGAGTCCAGCACGTCTGACATGATAACGCTGATGAGGCGATTAGCACACGTTACCTGTGAACGGCTGAACTTCTAATCCCTCCAATAGACAATAGCATATGTGTTTATTTACACGCAATGCTGTAAAACGATCTGTAGATGGATGTTTTCCGATGGATATGAATGTCGTTCTGTTCGCAGAGATTATCAGCAGTCCACTACTGGCTTTGTTTCTGAGTCAAAGGGGAACTCCGCCGCTTTTTCAAAATTCCACATTACATTAAGTCATTCAGAGTAGTTTGATGTGAAATGTTCCGTTCTAAAGAAACATGCAGTCAGAAATGTCCACAGTGGTGGTGATAGGAACCAGGCGTCTGAAGAGTTTAATGCCTCACAGAAAGTTATTACATAAAAATGGTTAGATATATATTCTGGTGCATTATTTTAAAGTTTTGTGTTAAAGTTTTGGCCTAAAATGTATTTTATTTAATCCGTTCATGGTGGAGGGGTACATGCAAAGTATTGTAAGACAAAAAAGACCCCAAAGAAAACTTTTTTTTTTTCTCAGATTTATGACTACCATGATCAACATTACATATAAACACTCACAAGACACACTGGTGAATTTGGATAGTAATTAAAGTGGCTATTTTTGTTGTAGACATCATAACCTCTGGTTCCTGTCACCACCGTTGTGTAAATCAGAGTTTGAGAGTTTCTCTACAATGAACCACTTCATATTTAACCACTCATGAATGACTCTGTTTACATCTCAAGGACTAAATTATTCAGACATTTTGAAAAATTGGTGGAATTCCCCTTTAAGTATTTAATATACAAATGATACAATAATATTTTCAGCATAACAACCTGAGTGAAAAGCAGAATCTTTGAAATGTTTGAATTCCAGAATTTTGTGGTATTTGGTATGTTCCCCTTTTGCTTTTTAGTTAGTTGGCATGGACACCAGAGGTTTGTGCAAAATCCACATGAGAGTTGTCTGAACATGGGATTTAATGCAAGGGATGAGACTCAAAACAACAACAAAGGCCTTAATATAGTCTGTGTCACAAATTTGCTTACATTTGAATAGTGACCCAAAAATAGTGCAGAATCCTGTATATTTCTTCTTCCTTTTACTGGTCATAACTTTGTTTGTTTTAAAATTTTCAGAATTCTAAAACTTTATTTTCAGGTTTAAATGAAAATGAACTCCCAAATTTTCTGTCTTAGACTTTTGAACTTGTATATACAACCATAAGGTCAAAATAAAAGTACAGTCTTTATTAATGTCTTATACACGCACAGAATCACACATTTTTGCCCTCAGGCCATTCAATGCCTGATGGCTGATTTAGCTGGGTCTGTGTGTCTGTGTGTAAGTGGTCCTGTCAGCCGTTGGTTTGTTGGGGGAAGAGAGTGAGCTCAGTCTCTTTATGAAAGTGCCCGTGTCACATGTGGAGTGACAGGCAGTGAGGACTTTGTGGCAGACTGTAGCCTGCGGTCCAACACACTGTCACTCTGATGTGTGAAACGGCAGCTACGAGAGTCGTTCTTGGGGGAAAAAACCATCCCAGCCTCACACTCGAACGTATCACAAAAACGCTATGCTAATTCTGCAGTTAGAGCTCGGCAAAACGCCTTTTTGACTGACACTTTAGAAATTAGCCAAATTAATTATTAAATTCAAGTGTGTGTGACAGTGTAATTTGATATGCTCTCATTGGATTAAATTTTAATGATTTCCCAACGTTTGCCCGTCTCTCAAGCAATACATTACATTTATGAGGCAGAGCTAACAGGCTGGGGTCAAACAGTCTGGGTTTAATTGCTGCGGGTTAGTGGTTACAGAGCTGGACTGGTAGCTTCTTAATTGCTCATTAGCCTGCTGCCATTCTTTTTCATGGCTCATTCAGCAGTTCTGTTAGCTCCTAAAGGCATGCTTGTTGCATTTTAACATCAAGCACCCAGTATCAGCGATAGGGATGATGATACCCATGACTGATACCACAAAGCAATTTCAGATGTGAATGCATGCTGCAGTGTACAAATGCCAGTAGACAGAACTTAACAAGTTGGCGATGTAGGTTGACAAGCAGCAGTAAAAATGCTCATGGCAAAATCTGTAACGCCAGTATTTCATTGAAAGGCAGTAGTAGTGGATGATATACCAGTTGGAGTTCTTCCTAAGTTATTGGTTTCACCAGTATGTCAAAAATGCACTGGATAATGCAACAAACAGCATAAAACATGCTAAAGTGAGGCGCTTACTTCAAAGCGTGAGTCACTTCTTTCAGTGAACACTCATCTGCCGCTGTGTAGTCAGTTACAGTCTGAGGTAATATTACTTCACATTGTTATTGAGGGAGTCAAAGTTGAAGAGATATGACGGTAACGGCCAGTCTTTTGAAGTGATGATAGCCTCTAGCCGTGGTTCGGCCTTTAGCTGTGGTATAGCCTTTAGCATAGCAGCCCGCTAGCTGGGCCTGTGTGTCCACTAACCCCACCTGCAGTGCACCTCCATCATTCAGCTGTATCTTGCAGCAGCAGAGTCTCTTGATTGTTGGCTATGAAAGAACATATTTGTGCGATTAGCATGAATAACTCAATTGTAAGGCCAACACCAGCAGTATAGTGGCATGTAGCTCTAGTTTTTTGTGCTATTGTGTGCCCTTATGTACTCCACTGGCACAGTGGTATAGCAAACACTGTGCTGTCAGCCCTTCCACTGTATGAATGTGTGTAAGTCTGTTTCACTGACTAGTGGTCTGCAGCACATCCAGGAGCGCAGTGTACCTGTGAACTGTGTACTAATTGCCTGGCAAAGACCTCTAGTACAGCTTCTGTTCAACCAGTATAGAATTTTATCAAGGAAGCTTATAGACATATAGTAGCTCTCCTGAAATAACAATAGTGAAAGATAGTTGTTTATTTGCATCATCTCCAAATTGTCAGTCTTGACAGCAGACTGATCAAACGCGGCCCTGTCCATGTCAATCAGCAGAGCTGTGTGTGATTTGCAGTCAGCTCACAACAGAGACCCAGAGGATGCTGAGGGAATAGTGTGAAAACCTGAATTTAATAGCTAAATAATATTGCCTCTATTTGCATAGAATCCATGAATATTCATGGTGTGAAGCCTTTCCAGCCATGGCTTTGATGCAGCACTGAGAGATGGCTGTAATTTTCCCCCCACAGAAAAAATAAATGCGGCTAGTGGTTATCTATTCTCTCTCCTCTCAAATGTGTGAATTCAAAGCAGTGGAGTCCAATGCCATATTTCCATTTCTGATGCCAAGAGCGAATGTGAAAGCTAAGCACATCCTGGTGGAGTTCCTGGTGGCCATCATCTGTCGAGGTCACTGCGTTGGCGTGAGCAGGAAAGCTGGGGCATGTGCCCACAGAGAGGGGCTTCTGTCCCATCTGATTGTGTCATGGAAATGCAAGTGACTGTTCCAAAGGTCAGTTTGATTGCTAAGAGCAGTAGGACACCCTCCCCCATTTTCTACAGCTCTGCTTGTGCTGAGGCTATCTTTTCTTGGTGTGTTGCACCATATGTAGGTTACACAGTTAGGGGATGCCAGTTTGTTCCACATTGATAATGTTCACTGACTGGACATTTTATTAGAATCACCAACATAGTGGATTTCGCCTTGCTGGTGTATAGTAAGGAACTGTAATGCTTACTGTGATGCCCAAGAGTGGAAAATATGTCTTAGTGGTGTCAAAATTAACTAGGGCTGGGCAGTTTGACAATATATATCATTATCATAAATTATGTCACAATACAATAAAGTATCCTTGTCTGAAAATATCATGAAGATCGTCAGTACTTGTAGAACACTGACCAACTGCATGTTTCATTATAAAGAGAGCAAAATAAGTCCTGTTTAATTGGTCTTAGTGCAACACAGTATGTGAAATACTGAATAAAAATCATTGCATTTACAGTTTTTGATAGCATTTTTAAAAGGTTGTTCTTTTTTTAAAACTGGTTGTTTTTTCTCAGTTCCACTTGAGATATCAGATATCTGAACAAAATAAATATTGTGACATATCGTGTATCATGAAAATTTCTTAAAGCATTACAATATTTATTCCAAATCGCCCACCTCTAAAATTAATGTTGAGGCTATGACGTTATGACTATAATTTACATAGAAAAGCACTTCCAGCAGAATGTGACACTCTGGAGCAGCCACACATAAGCCTAAGGTCACCGTGACCAGTCCCAGCCATCAGCTAGACGGGTATAAAGCCCCCAGCATTGGACTGTGGGCATTCTCTGGAGTGATGTAGCTCCATCCCGGTATCTTTGGGGTGAGTTAAAGTTCCAGTGTTCCAATTTTTCAGTGCATTTCTATCTTAAAATCAGTGGTTACTGTGCTAAAGAGAGACAAAACCCCATATTAATACCCTTGATTTCAGAAAAAACATTGGATTTCTGCTGTAGTGTTGCCTGACATTCAGTATAATTCTAGTGTAAGTGTTCTTGTTATCCTCACTCTCCCCTGTTGTACACAGCAGGCTGCATACATGTGGCATTTATTCAGTGCTTCCCTGCTTAATACACAGTGCCAGTCCCTTTCAGCTAATGGGTGCAGCAATTTCAGTGCATTTCTATGTAAAGGAAACAATGTATCTATGGAGTCCAGGATGAACTGTTCAGGGTAGTATGTGGGTGAGTCTGTCAGGTGTCCACTTAAAAGCTTCTGAAGAACGAGATGCTGACGCCAGAACTGTCCTCTGTGACTCTTTTCCAATTAACGAGAGTAGATAAGACTCCCACTCACACACACATACTGGCTGGGAATACTGCACTGCAACACACACTCACACATGGTGGAGTGTACCGCAACATTATTATTATTACTGTCATTTTTTCTGACACATACAACCATATTGATAGTGTTTCTGCAGAATAATCCTTTCATCTGTTTGGGTCTTCAGATTTCTGTATGGCTGGTTTATGATA